GCTTCGATAATTGACACTTACTCAAAAGTCTTATCCCTCCTCCTTCCTTCTGTTCATCTGACTTCTGTGATTTTTACTAGAATTCGAAGTGCACCTGCGATGAAGCTTTTTGAACAACGTGAAATATGTTAGAATAACCACTCTGACGACTTCAACTCTGACTACTTGACACACCCGCAATGAATCAGTTTTTATGTTTTGTTTTTTAGGTTTTGGATAGTGAATGATGGAGGACACGCGTGAGATTTTTGATCAGTCTCTTCTCCACTTTTTAACTTGATTAAGCGTGTGGGGAAAAGACTGGTATCAGGGTGGGAGAAATTGTTTTTGATGGGGTTGGGGTTGCGGTGGAGAATCGGTTAGGTTTGATTTGGTGATGTTCAGATGTGAGTGAGAATTGAAACTCTTACTGTGTATTCATAATGAGATGTGATATCGAATAATTCAACAACTTCCCCAACATCCTTTTATCTCATTCCCCTGTTCCTTTTTTCCTATCCTTTTTTCTCTTCTTTTTCTCGCAACACCTCCCCTATCTTACACCGTATCCTTTCTCTTATATCCCTCACTTCTTTCCCCATCACCTCCTTTCTACACACCAGTTACCCGCTCTCCTCCATGGCTTCAGACGTCCGAAACACACACTAGGAGCCAAGCCTTTTGGTCTGCTCTAAGGAAAGCCAGTATACTCTCCCCAGTTGGACTCCAAGCAGCAGAGGGGGGGAGTGATTTCTGAAGTGGACTCTTATGAAAGTAGTGTTTTAGTAGTTTTCTCAATGGCTGTTGAGTTTTTGAGGTTCTTTGGCTACTCTTCCCTAAATTCACTCCCTCTTTCCCTTTTCCTTCTCTCTATATTCTTTCTTGAATTATCTTGTTTTAGACTGAATTGTAGTATTTCACTGCTGGTTTTATGTTGAATCTCATGCATATTTGGATTCTCATTAGAACTATCATTAGGGGGGTTCACAATTGAACTTCAGAGTGACAAGTTCGCAGCCTTCAAGAGTGTATCCGGATGATGAGCGCAAAACTGGACGATCAACGGGCGATCTAATCCTTCTGGATTCCTTCCTCATGAGAATCCAAATCCAGTTGTTCGACCCGATACTTGATCTGGCGGTCATCAGAATATAGGCCCGGATGAATCATAGGTGTGTAGCATAGTTCGGCCCCATAGTAGCGTGATAAGATCCGCCACGCCAGCTCCGAGCAATTCGTATCCTGTCGGCTTCTTCTTATCTTTCTTCTCTTCTCCTGTTCCGTTCTTCTGCAATTTTTCTGCTCGGTTGGTGTCTCCTTCTCTTCCGTGTTCAAGTCCTGAGACGACTCCATTCTTCCCTGTAATTTCCACTTCCACTTCTTCTGGTTTTGAAATCGAAACCGTCGAGCCGGGTTCATTCGTGCTGTCCACCATTCTGAATAAACTTCTTGTTGTTCTTGAGCCGGCGGGTGTTGAGAAAGAGAGTGAGGTGGTGAATGATGGTCTAACTTGTAGTCCAGTCGGTAATCAGGGGGTCTTGATGGTAATCGTTGATAACAGTTGAAGAACCCCTGTGGGAGACACAGAGTAATGACAACATCGCTCTCTCGAGTTCTTCACCCATTCCACCAGAGAATCGGAGCCTGCGCGAAGTGCGGAAAATTTCCGCGCGGATCTGGTCAGTGCGGAATTTCGTACTGAGCTGTACAGACCAAGAGAGCTGTACAGACGAACAGGTCCATCCGTATTGGGAGGCGGGTTTCGGACTGGTTTCATCAGTGGCCTGGTGTCGGTCCGGGTCAAGTATCATCATGCTACTTGGTGGAAGCTACATATTATATGATATAATAATTAAGGATTGTTGAGAAAATAAGAAAGACTATTCCGAGCCCTCAAAGAAGCAAGACTAACTATTCCGAGCCTTCAAATAAGCCTTCCTCTGCATGAGAAGCTGCCTGGATCTGTTAGTATGTACTGGGCTCTTTGGGAGGGGAGACCGTCGTTGCTCAACAAGCTCAATGATTTGGCGCGGGATTGGTCAGCGGACTAGGAGTTACTGGTCCTTCTGACGGAGAGCGACTTTGGGATCCCGGCGCGCCCAAGGACGGTGGGGGTGGAGAGGTCATAGTGCTGTTCTTCTCCCTCCATTCTGTCCTCAGTCTCGTCGGCATCCTCATCTGACCCCTCGCGAGGACGACGGGGAGTGAAATCGCTACCAGATGCCTCGACCGATGCCTCAACCGTGCGTGGGTTGGGTTGAAAGTTCTTCCCTTGAAGCAAGAAGGATGAGAGCAAGCGGTTGAAGATGAGGGCGCCGATTTGGATGCTGATGCTGGGGTCGGTTATTGATGCTTTAATGAGATCGAATCTTCCGAGAGTGAGTTCAAATCTTCGTCCCTAAGTCTTTGAATCTTTTGATCAGAACTAAACGATCAGAACTAAACTCAAGGGATCTCAAGACTCTGCCGGTCGCCAGCTTTCTTTATCAAGGTGAACATTAAAAAATTTCTGTAGTATTTCTCTTCATCTTCCATTAATGTTCAAACAAAGGGGCTTTGGATTGTGCGGTGGGAAACACCTTTCCGTTTTTGGATTTTGAAACACATGTGCTCACCCACTACAGAGAATACTGCAAGAAAATCAGCGAGAAAATACAGCGCTGTATTTTCCGCGGTTTCCGCGGTTTCCGCGGTTTCCGCGGTTTCCGCACTTTCCACCTTGCCTCGGGGAGGCTCCGATGCTCTCCATTCCACCGAGGAGGGGCGGCGCGGCGCCCTTGGATGGCGGCGGATTACGTAATAAAGCATAATTATGTGTAAAGTGCCTTTTGGGAAGAAAATAGCAAAAGAACCTCAAAAACCAGAATACATAGACCATGCCTTCACCTCCGCCGCAAACCACAACGGCAACAACAACACCAGCAGCGACTACAACATCAGCAACTGCAGCGATATCTCAGTTTGTCCCTAGACCAACCACGACTACCCAAACCTTCCTACCTGAATTCTGGAGTCATATCATCCGAAATGCCGAAGAATATCAGTCGGACTTCAAGGATGGTCAGCTGCCCCTGGCACGGATTAAGAAGCTAGTCAAATCTGATCCCGATATCAAAGTAAATATGTCGAATGTGGACTTCATTTGTCTTGCTGGAACCGAACATACATATCTGACACTCTTTCTAACGTTTCAACTATTCTTCAGATGATCGCCAATGAAGTTACGGTTTTATTGGATAAAGCATGCGAAAGTAGGCCGTTTCTCTCGTCAAGGTTTTCATACTTCATCTCAATCAAACCAAGTCACATTCTGTAGAAAACGGGGTTCAAAAAAAATAATTAAACTCCAAATGACCGGGAGAACTTAAATACGAGCTAACCTTCTCTCTTTTGATTCCGTCCTTGAATCGCTTGTAGTCTTCGTCAACGAGATCACTGTTCGTGCCTTTCTGGTCGCCAATTCCTTGAATCGCAGAACCGTCAATACATCGGATGTGGCGATGGCCATCAGCCAAAGTGACATGTTCGATTTTTTGATTGATATCGTCCCAGCTGAGCAACTTCCGTCCGAGTGAGTCATCGAAAAAAAAAAAAAAATCTTTCTCCTTCCGATATATCTCGGCCATGTGATGAAGATTTAGATGATCCAACAAAAAAAAAAAACTCGGGTTTTTTTGTTTTCTTCAGGAATGAATCAGCAGCCAATCAACCACCATGTCCTTCGTCTTCAACATCACCCACAACAGCACCGAAAAACTCTACGACGACTAGAAAGAGACGAACAACAGTGCCAGAAATTCCAGATGATACAACCCAAACAGAACCGACAGTTTCAACACCACTTCCATCAGCACCTCCACCGTTACCTCCCAAAAAGAAACCCAAGAACCATAGGGTCAACCGAAACTTGATGCCCGAAGAGGTCGCGGTGCCAATTCCAGATACAGAGCTAGTCAAAAAGGAACCTTCGCCCGAGCCGTCTCCTCCAAGACCCCCAAATGGAAGATTACTAGCCATCCCGATTCCAGATTCTGAATTGATCCCTCCGAGACAATCAGAATCAACATGGGAAATGGCAGTTCCGATTACATCCAATGATCACCAAACTTCGCATCTGCCATCGAATTCCGGAAGAGCGTGGGAGATGGCCGTGCCGATCTCAGATTCATCATCGCATCCGATGGTGGGGGAACGAAATTGGGAGATGGCAGTGCCGATCTCTAACGATCTGAGTCGACCGTCCATTCATCCATCCCACAAACGAAAACGAAACTGGGACTTGGCCGTGCCGATCGTGGATGAAGCCCAAGAAGAGGATTCTGAATATCCCCGCCTGGAAAAGAGGCCGATGTTGAAGAGAGATTCACTACCTTCTCCTCCGGGAACAAGTCGTGATGATCATCAACGCACATCGAACCATGAGATGGTAGCCAATAGTCAAAGGAACTGGGAGCTTGCAGTGCCCATTGTCGATCATCAGCCCGATCCCAGTCAGCAAGAAGCACAGATGATGTCGAGCAATCCCAATTCACGGAATCGATCGGACAGGCTCGCCCCGGTCCCGATAGACCCTGCTCTCTTTGACCTCGGATCTTCTGTTCAACTCACTTCAGACCTCATCAATCCGCATCTTCTACCCCATGGCGATGACTCTCCAAACATCACGATCAAGCAAGAAGAATGATTCCTGTCCTTAATCTCATATTCATTCCACTTTCCATACTTTTTTATTCGAGTTATTATCAGCACTGCGATCGTCACGCTTTCTTCTCCCCTGTTTTCCCAGCATTAGACGTTGCTCAAATGCAAGCAACACTACGAAGCTCATAGCTGTTTTCTGATGGTTTATTTGTTGATATGCGCTGATCAAGCTATCTGGTTGATTATTTAAAAGCCAATCAAATTATTCTTTGATGATGATGATGATGAAATAGGTTACTCAAATTGTTTTTACAGTGGTGAGTAGCATCTGATTTATCATTGTAACTGTCTCCCATTACTATTACAAACTTCGAGTGGGGCGAACCAGAACTGGTCTTTATTTTGCCACAAAACAAAATAAATCATGAGGAGAACACACCATCCACCACATATATCTAGGGATAGGTAAGAAAGTATTGGAAATTCCTTTCTGTCTTGATGACATTCACTTTGCATGTATTTTCAAATGGGCTACAAATAGCAATAACTTATGAATTGTGATCTGCTATGAACAATTGATGATAATAAGATTGGTTTGTTCAAGTGTGATGTCACTGTTGATTGATAGGTAGCTCAATTTACCTTGAATCATGTTGTTAATTCTTGTGGGCTGATTTAGATTGTCTATGTAGATCATCTGGTCCATAAGAGGAATGGCTCCTTGATGTGGATATTGCTGTGCCAGAAACCACTTGATGAGTCTTTTGAAATTCATAGTATAGTTGGTGATGCCAAGCAAAGCCTCTTTTTTTGATGAATTCTTCAAATACAAAAAGAGAAATAAAACGCAAATAAAAATGCAACAAACTTCAAGACATAATAAGGTCAAGTTGTGTGTAACTTGACAGCTAGGAATCTATCATGATAACCCTCCATTTCTCTGCATCAAACTTGAGTGGCATGTTTGAGGCCAACGCCAACTGGAGTACAGGGTGAGGCCAAACTTGACTCACAAAGGGATATCCTGGCCCCCGAGCGCTTTGGAGGAGGCCAAATTGGAAGTTGGTTACGCGCCATGCGCACTTTGATGAGTTTAATATGTTGTGGGGTGGGCTTTCATTTCCGAGCGAACCGGCTGACGAAGACCATACATACTATATTCCAACGATTTGTATCTCATAGCAAGCACCAGTCGATCGATTGGGAACAAGAAGAAGAAGAATGGCCAACCCAGACTCACTTCGAAGTCGATTCGGGAAACCAGACGCGGATAGGGTCTATCAGCTGGCTCACAGTCCAACACCCACTCAACTCTCCCTCCAGATTAAGCATGCACTCGAAATAATCGAACTGGCCATTGTCCGTTTTGGGTAAACTAACCGACACTCTGTTTCATCTTTCTTTCTCCCCCCCTTATCAATATAAAAGGTCCCTCCAACAAACCTTCAACATCTCTCGTTAATCCCAACGTCCTGTGTTGTCCATTTCATCAATCTGCCATTTCCTTACATAATCAGTGTTGATGGACTGTCTATTAGTTTTAATGGCGGAAAAGATTGTAAGTCGAAACGCCTAAATAAATCTCCGAACTCCCGAGTCCTCACATTCTCAATCATCTCTTGCTGTGCTGGTGCCAAGAACAAAAATAAAAATAAAATAAAAATAAGATGAGACACAGCTTGTCATCCGTGAAGCAAAGCCTTTGCTCTGTTCTATTCCATCTTGTTCTACTTCTTGGATTATGAGGTACAGAATGGCGGCAGGTGATTGATCCTAACCACTGTACTTGTCCGATGTAATTAGCTACAGTTCTTGTCCATTTGTTTGCAGCAGCGTTGTACCGGAACTCCTCGATCCCGACTTCATCTGAACCGGAGCCCAACTTGAAAATTTCGGGCCTCTATATTCGATGTCAATCCCCCTTCGCCGAAGTTGACGAATTCGTGAATCACTGTCAAACAATTTATAATATCGATCTGATGACGGTCGATAACAGCTTGAAGAATGGACTCGGTGCTTTTCTCGCCGAACGTCCGTCTATCAAAGCCATCTTGATTGGAACCAGGGCGACAGATCCTAATGGAGGTCAGTGATCGTTCTCTGCTTTTGAAGGCCCACACAGTTGACGGGTCCAACTACATATCAAATCGGTTTTTCCAGTCGTTTCATCAAATTTCATTTTCAGTATCCTGAGTGCTGTCGATGAATAGGAACATCTCAAAGACAGATGCCAAGTGATGGCTATCGTTAATGTATGTATTTGGCTCTTTTGCAATTCCTCTTATCCAGGCAGTCTAACGGATTTCGATCCAACCGATTCGGATTGGCCATCCATCATCAGAGTTCATCCAATCCTAGACTGGGGTTATTCACATGTCTGGGAATTCTTGCAAAAACTTGAAGTTGACTGGTGTAAATTATACAACTCTGGGTCAGCATTCCATTCGCTCAAACATTTCCAAATGAATTTGTGATCCAATAACCCACACTAATTTTTTTTTTTTTTTTTTCGTTTTTTTGCGTCACACGATGAGTTGATTCGTTTCCCAGATACACCTCACTAGGATCCAGTTTCAATACCTTCAAAAATCCATTTCTTGAGACTGACGATGGATGGAAAGCCGCGTGGGAGTTGAGCGATGGAAGAAACGAAAGGGCAGGCAGAATGTGAGATTATCCTTATCATCCGCGATCTCTCTTCTTGTTCTCCACATGATTCTGGAAACGCAAAGGAAAAGCCACAAAAAAAGAAGTTCTCCGCTTGGGGGGAGGATAAACAGGGCTTTCATCCGCTGCGTATTGTTGTTGAAAGAGAAGCTAATATGATCCGAATCCGATTCTTGATGCTTCATTTAAATTAGATCCGGGAGCGTCCATTCTGCTGCTTGACGAAGCCCAGTGTGTTCACTTGTATTAGGAAGTAATGTCCAAGGCCGGCGTTGACGCCCTCTCGATTCCACTTTTTTCCTCCAACCATATACTCTATTACCACATTAACTTCATCTATGTAATACAAAGATAATCAGATGCTTGGCATAGGATTTGTTGGCATGAATTTTCCTCACAACACTCGCACTTTCAAGCACTGCATCTTATTGGGAGGACTAATCCAAATGGGTAAAGGCAGGTAGAGCTGAGGGAATAGCAAAATACGAAACCAATCCTTCAAGCTCCCATCAAGCTCAAGTTTATGGCAAGTCACATCATTTGGGTTTTGTACCACGGGGTCGACATTGTTGGATAGAGCGATTCATTGAGAGTTTTATAAACAAATTATTAGTCCTGTGATTCTTACTATGTGTTTTTGAACAGGGTTAAAGAAATAAACAGTGTGACTGTGGGTCTGATACGAATGGGATGCAGGTTCGTTGGTGGCTTGGATAGATGGAATGTGTCTGCCGTTCCTGAGATAAACTTGGCTACATAAATGAAGATCACAGCCAAAACTAGACAGATAAACATAGGATGAAAATGATAAAAAAGTGCTTCAAGACAGACTGACAAAACAACTTGGACAACTTAGTTGGAGGTTTAGATTCTGATATTTCCAAGTGAGACTTCTTCAACTTACACTTTTTGATTGAATTCAACCATCCGGTCGTGACTGACAAATTTGAATGAAAAAAATGTAGGCAAGAAGAATACCCGGACCTTCGTGGTGATGATTTTAAGAAAGCTGAATTTCGGAGGAACTTCGAGAGGCGTATCAAGACCACATCAGCCGACCGCAAGTAAATATGATTTGTGAAAGAGATTCCTGGACCTACATTGGCGATACTGCTGGGTTTCGTGCAGCTCGGATCCTTTGCCAGGCGTTGTAGCCAGCGGTACTTAGTCTTCCGAATTCATACTGACAGGCCTCGACAAGAGCTCTGCTTAGTCTACCGGACCCACAAATAAGATCGGTACCAGCTGAACAAATCGCTAAGGCGATCGGGAACCCGCATAGACAGCCTGCAGAAGTCATACAACATTCCGCGCAATTTGAGAATGAGAAACAAGCACAATACGAGCGCGGGAAGCCATAGCAGCAGCGGGTTTCATATAACGAGTAGCCTTCCTCGTCGAAGATCTCGACTCTTCCGTAATAGTATTTCAAACTACCTGGGGGTTTTTGGATTGCGGAGAACGAGCCGTCTGGATGAAGAACATACGGCGATCCGGCCATGTGATCGGAGATGTAGTTCTTGATCAAGCTCAATTGCTCCTGGCTTGGTATCCGAGTCTTATGATGGTTGCGTTCCATTTTGTCGGGAATAGGGTTCCGGATTTCCTCGGGTCTTGAGTCCATGAGCATTTTGCGGTGGCGCGGTCGCAGATGACCGCTGCTCTCGAGTGTCAATTGTATCGGCGGGGCCAGTGGAGGAGCGCTTGCAAATAAGACGGGATGCGGTGCGATTGTGACAGCACTGGTAGGGGCAGCCAAGGCATCCTTGAGTGTCAAGCAGATGAGGGCTAACAATGACATCCTGAACATAGCGACGGACATTGCTATGCTTAAATGTGTAAAGATTTGCCTAATTTTCTTTGGAGGAAGTGCTATAGTCAATGGGTAAGCTAGAGTGTGCAATGTGAAATGCAACCTGCAAGAACCTGCACCACCTAAAGATGAACAATACATACAAGCTAGAAATGGTGAAGCAGATTACGAAGCCATTTGAGGTAATCCTGGCGAGCCTGCCCAAACGACCCGTCCACGCAAAGCGCGAGCTCCGCTGGACGAGGCGTTTTGAAAGTTTCGTTTTTCATGAGGGAATGCAACAAGTCTGAATTGGTGACACGAGGCACTTCGGCGCGTATGTTAGACCTTGGGCTTAGCTAGTAGTCTCCCTCCCACGATGAGATGCCGAACTGGAATGTATAGGGGTTACGACTTTATGACTTTGCGACGACTCATTGAGTCATTTAATCGGCAGCGATACATAAATAGTTCGGGGTTTGAAGCGGTGCGGCCTCCAATCCATGTATTTATATGCACTCCTGCTGGCTGTGAGGGCCCACCTCCTACTCCTGTAAATCAACGACTTTGAATTTACTCCAGAGAAATCGTCGACTGAACTTATAGGGGAATAGCGACTTGTCGAGAAGTTTTTGAAACATTCTGATCATATGGTCTTTCTTGCAAGCGTGCCGGGGTACAATCCAAAGCCCTGCTTGGCCGAGTTGAAATGACAGCCTCTCTATGCCACTTGTTTCCTCCAACCATATAGTATAACCAGATTAACTTCGTCTATGAAATACATAGCAGGTATACACAGATAACCAGATTCAGATGCTTGGCACAGGCTTTGTTGCCACAAATTTTCATCAAAACATTCACACTTTCAAGCACTGATTCTGCACCGTATAGGCCTAATCAAAGTGGGGAAAGACAGATGGAGCTGAGGGGAATACACACATAATCTATCATGTTTCCATAAAGCTCTAGATTACGGTTAGTCACATTATTCGGGTTTGATAGACCAGTGGCCTAACATTGTTGGATAGATAGATAGATTGATTGATTATTTCTAGAAAATGGATTTGTCCCACGAGCTGTGTTGTGAGTTTTTGAACTTGAATCAACACGCTGAGGAGTAAAACAGTGTGAGTACTGTGGGTCTGATAGGGATGAGATGCAAGTTTGTTGGTGGTTTGAATAGATGGAATGCACCATTCCTGAGATAAATGTGGGTGTATGAATTAAGATCATAGCTAAAACCAAACAGCTAAACATTGAAGGGAAATGGAATTGACAAAAAATGCTCCACAATACCTTGACAGGATGATTTGGACTCAAAGTGAGACGTTCATCTCCAACCTTCGGTCGAACTTTTTGGTTGAATGAAACCGTCCGACGGCACGATGATTACAATTTGAATGAAGCTGTCTACGCAAGGACGGCACCCGGACCTTTGTAATGGCAATGTCAAGGCAGCTGAATCTCGGAGGAACTTTGAGGGAGGAATAGAAAGACAATATTAATCAACCAAAAGTAAATATGATTTTGAAAGGAATTGAGGACTTACACAGGCGCTACTGTTGGGTTTCGTCGGGCTCGGATCCTTTGCCAGGCGTTATAACCAGCATTGGCAACTGCACTTAGTCTTCCGTAAGCAGAATTCCTCGTGTGGATACAAGCCCCACTTAGTCTGTTGTCACCAAAAAAGCTCAACTCGAGACCCAATGAACACAGTCCAGTTGAGACCAGTAGAGGACAACATAAGATGCAGGCTGCAGAAGTGGTCGAATATTCGGCGCAATTTGTGCATGAGAAGCAAGCGCAATTCGAACGGGGGAACCCATAGCAGCAAGATGTTTCGTATATCGAGTACCCTTCCTCGTCGAAGACCTCGACTTTCCCAAAATAGTACTTCAAAGTACCTTGCGGTTTCTCGATTGCAGAAAATTTGCCGTCTGCACCAAGCACATAAGGCGATCCCGCCATGTGGTCCCGGATGACCTTCTTGATTATGCTTAATTGCTCCTCGCTTGGTATTCGAGTCATATAATGATTGCGTTCCATCTTGTCAGGAACAGGGTTCTCCAACTCGCGAGATCTTAATCCAAGGACTTTGCGCTGTCGCGGTCGTAAGTGCCCGTTAGGCTCGAGTATAAATTGAATGGTTGGGGCCAGTGTCGGAGCGCTCGCAAAGGAGATGGGATGTGATGTGATTGTGACAGCGTTGGTGGGGGAAGCCGATGCATACTTGAGCGCAGAGTATATCAGGAATGATGCCAGAAATCCGAACATTGAAGCTGATGAATGTTCTCTGATTTAAGAAGTAACGATTCAAGTAGCTTGGAGTCGCATAAACCGGACATCAACCGGAAGTGGACCATGCAACCCGTCCCACGAAAACGCCCACGCTAACCGCGCGGGTGATCAGGAATTCGCGGTGGAAGTTTCATCTTTCATGGGGAGATCAATCAAGTCAATTTTTTGGGCTGGCGTCTGAGCAGCGGTGCGCCTCAGGACTCCCAGACATTGGAGGGAAGATCACCCAAGTTTCAGTTCAAGTCGACGCCATCGGTTCGCGACGTCGAATTAATTGTGTTGAGGATAGTTTTGGGCCGCAGCCACCACAGCCCCGGAGGTAATTGGTTGGATCTAAGTTTCGACTTGGGAGGTAAATATTAGCTCCCCAAATCCCCTACTTGCATTGGCTTTCCGGAGAAAACTCCTCCTCGGCAAGTGGGTAAGGGGTCTACCGCCTCACCGGGGGAGGGGCCTCTCCTCTTTGGCAATGCGGAATGTCAGGTATGGGCACGCGCTGAAGGCTTCACGGCGAGCTAGTGCAACTCGCCAAGGAGAGATCCTCCCGGGTTCACGATGCAATGTCTCGTCGAGCAGTAGTACACTGCCCTATTTCGACACGTTTGATCACGTTGAACAGTTGTTTAATGTGGTTCTAATTAGGATGAATTCAAAGTCAATGCCAGAAATCTAAACAGTGGAATAAGAACAAAGTTGTAAAGAAGATCTTTCAAGGTGCTCGGACAAAATGACATGGTGAAATTTTGGCAAAATTTGATTGAATGAAATCTTCCAAAGGTCCAATGATCACGAGGCGCGACATAATTGGGACAAGGTGATCTATGTGGGAACGGCACGCTGACCTTCTTGATGATGATTTCCAGGAAGCTGATCTTCACAGTCACTTTGAGGGAATAGCAAAACAAGGGTAATCAACAACAAGTAAGAGTTGTAGAGAATTTGAAGACCTACTTCATCGGCGTTACCCTTGGGTTTCGTAGGTCTCGTATCTTTTCCCAGGTACCATAACTAGAACGGCCGATTAGTAACAGTTCATAGTAAGCAGCACTGGCAATCAAACTAAGTGCGTTGTAACTATAACTTCCAACTGCGCTTAGTGATTTGTAACAAAATTTTCCAGCAGGAAGGCTGAACACATAACCAGCTGCACATAGTCCATAGGCCACAGGACTACAGACTAGGCATATTGCGCAACTGGTACAGCATTCCGCCAAATTGGTGCATGAAAAACAATAGCAACACGCATGTGGGAACCTATAGCAACATGATGTCTCATATAAGGAATACCCTTCTTCGTCGAATACTTCAACTCTTCCAAAATAATATTTGATAGTGCCATCACGTTTTTCGATTTCAGCAAATGTGCCATCCGGTTTAAGAGTGTAAGGCTTTCCCGTCTCGTGATGTCGGATGAATTGTTTGATTTGACTTAATTGCTCCTCGCTAGGTATTCGAGTTGAATGGCTCCCGCGTTCCATCGAAGGAGGAGTAGGATGTTGTGTTTCCGGTGGCATTGATTCGAGAACTTTGCGATTTCGTAGTCGTAGATGCCCGTTACGCTCGAGTGTAAATTGAATGGGTGGGGCGAGTATTGGAGCGCTGGCGAATGAGATTGGATGCGGGGCAATTGTGACAGCGTAATTGGTGGGGGTAGCTGAGGCATACTTGAGAGTAGAGCAGATGAGGACTAGTATGGAAAACCTGAACATAGGAGCAGGGGATACTTTATTATTGAAAGTGAAAATGTTCATTTAAATATATCTGGAGAAAGCGGTCTGGCCAATGATTAAGCTGGTAGCAGAGGCTGCCTGAGTGAGGAAGAAGCAGTCCTGGTGAGCCTGCCCGCCCACGCAAAGCGCGATTTCCTGTGGGCAGCCATTTGTGTTAGATTCCTTGGGAGTTTTGTTTTTTTCGGGTGAATCAAGCAAGTCGAAGTTTCATCACGCGAGGAGACACTTCCGGAATCTTAGCACGTACACCCTCTGTTGTACCTTGGGCCTAGTCTTCCTCTCACAATGAAAAGTTGAACCAATATACTGGGATTATTAGTTTATGACTTTGGGACGCTGCATCCCTCGTTTGAGCTGCAGCAAAAAGTCAGGGTATGTATGAAGCTACATAAATATGTAATCCTGCCAATGAGTATTACGGATGTCGCTTAATGAACCCAACAAGCTGCTATTTCGTATGGCTCTGGTTTCATACATGCATAGTGAAGGTTTTCCTCTTCAGATGGACTTTGGGATAAAAGAAAATGGGATGTTGTATATACATAGGCATGTCTTTCCAGTTAGGACCCCGGGTAGTTGCTCTTGAAATTTATTACATTTCCTCCAATCAGAAATTGAATGACAAATCAGAAGGTATCTTGATAAGAATTCAGTACTAAAATAGAATAAGTAGGGTCTCTTTTGGATCTGGAACCACACAGAGTAGCAAGGCTCTCTCAGTAGGCCTGTTCAAATTTCTCTCTTGCACTTGGTCCTCTTTCACTTCTCTCTTTCATTATCATTCATCAATTCAGATCTAGATTATACATTCAACAGAGTCTTTCTCCCCCAGACATCATAGACTATATCTGATTGTAAGCATTGAAAGATTTTGAAACTGAAGATATTTTATTCCTTTATAAGTATACTAGTATATGCCCCCATTTTTGGGGAGGTTTGGTTGGTATATTTGCCCCGTTTTTGTTAATCGGGTGATTACTCGATGACCTTTTCTTGAGTTGGACACCTGTCTGCCTCGGTCTAACGCCGGCGTCGACAAATCCAACAAATGTGAATTGGAGGTCGACGCCGGCGTTAGATTGCATGGCAGTTTGTTTGGCCCTCTGAGGCTATTCCTTTAGTTTTATGTAGATATTCTTTTAAATAAATACAATTGATAACGTGATAACAAGGAAATCAGAGCAGTACCTGAAGGCAGTACTGATCTGATAGCTTTTTAAATACTTGATAATGGAAATTGCCTTCGAGTAGCTAGTATATGCCCCCAAATTTGGGGAGGCTGCTTGTTTTTGCCCCGGATGTTGGGGATTTTACTTGTTTGAAGGTCCTATGGTGTATGTCCTTCGCTTTTGAAGGTCGCCATGATTGTAAAGTCTTAAATGACATTGACATGTGCAACATCGACGCCGGCGTTAGAAGCCGCATGAGAAATCAATACAAAGGCTGACAGTTTGTTTGGCCCTCTGAGGCCATTTTTTTAGTTATATGTAGATTCTTTTAAATAAATACAATTGATAACGTGATAACAAGGAAATCAGAGCAGTACCTGAAGGCAGTACTGATCTGATAGCTTTTTAAATACTTGATAATGGAAATTGCCTTCGAGTAGACTAATTTATTCAGTTGAGGATAATGATAACAGCTGAATAAATTATCGGAAGAGCATTCCGATGTTAGTTTTTCTCTTAAGGTAAAATGTTTCTTATTCGCAAGAGTAATGAAAATACATTACTTTGGATAACAAGAATAAATTTCTTGTCTTAAGAAATTATTAGTTAATCCTTTTTATTTGGCCCACCTTGCAGATCTGCTCGGGTGGGATTCCTAAGGCGTTTTGGAAGGAGGCGCCGCCGACTCGGAAAGAGTGGCCGGAGAGTCCATCAAAGCCATGGGCTGCCCATATGGCGGATAACCTCTTCTTTGCGTAGTATTTAGTCAGCGCTATATGCTGTCCATCCTTGTAAAAGCCGAAGACGTGATCGTTCTGACCGCAAGAGGCGATTCTTCGTGTCAGAGCCCTGACTGGGCAAAGGCAGTTCGGCATCTGCTTCAGTTGGAGGAACTGGGATTCTCCCGGTAAGGCCGTCTTGGATTCTTTCAGTTCGATGGTCGCTGACAAGCCATTGTTGCTGATCGTAATGTCGCGTCGTAGAATCTTTCGGCCTGGGTTGGACGGATCATGTGTTACTTCGCCCAATCTTGCTAGGCTCCAGAAGGTTACCAATGCTAAGTCGAGTACCGCGGCGTCTTCTAAATCTCCTGACGTTAGGTCATTCGCTAAAACTACCAGGTGTTCTATCATTACCGGCTTTTTTGGTTCTTTCCTCGCCGCCTGCGCCTCAACCTTGAGAGAGGCTTTCAAAAGGAGGCTTACTTTCTTCTCCGAGATTAGAGGATATGGTGAGTTGTGAAAGATGTGCCATGCTTTCAACCCTTGAAGGTATTTTTTGAGGGTAACACTGAGCACTCCGGTTTCGCCGCCATCTGAGTCCTTCTTTCCTGCCCAGAAGCAGAAACCGTAAATATCCTCCTCGGCAGCCGGTAGGGTAAAGCGAAGATGGCCGGAAGTCTTCTTGAACGTGAGAAATTTCCGCACTGCGGAGTTGTATCCCTTAAGAGTAGATTTGGACCAGCCGTTAAGGACGTGCTGGTCTAGTCGGCTAGGGGTATGAAGTAAATGTCCTCGCGAAGTAAAGTCTCTAATTGAGGACAGGAACGAGTCGTTTGAGGTAACAGGCATTGATTTGTGATGCAGAATGAATTGAAGACAATGGGATATGCTACGAGGATGAGCGAGATGTGGAAAAAACAAATAAGATCTAAAAATATCCAAAAAGGAACAGGGTACAAAAAAGGGGCGGAGACTTTATATCTTAAACACAACTTGAGATAAAAGACCCTGTAGGTCTGACGGTAACTGTATAACCACTTGGTACTTTACATTTTGGCCTGACCGTATCCCTCGCGACAAGGCATCTGCCTTGTTGTCTTTAGATTTTACTCTCCTTGCCACCAAATTGACTGATTCCCTTAATAATACTTCTTGGATTTTCTTCCACTCATCGTTTGCTTCAGCGTCCTTTGTCTTCTTATTGTTGATACTATTCTCGGTTGTTGTATTATCAGTCCAGACAATAAGTGATTTTCCTTTTTGACTTCTCAACTTGAGTAGCATGAGGAGGCCTAGCCGTATCGCTACCGTTTCTAAAAACGAAATCCGTTTTTGGTTCGATTGTGGGTCGATAAGCTTGAATTGAGCCCAGTGCTTCCCGACGAGTATTCCAATTCCAAAGGATGTCGAAGCATCACCCACCCATCCGACATCTAACGGTGGGCCCCAGTTTATTAGACGTGTATGTTCGAAGTTATTCAACGTATTCACCCAAACGTCTAGGTCTTCAAGGACATCTACCGGGGTCGCTCGTTTCGCTTTCCGCCAGATCCAGGATTTCAGCCACTTGTATAGAGAGCATAAGTGGCATCTCATGTGCGGGAGGATATAAGAGACGTGATTGAGTCTCCCCACTAGGACTTCTGCCTCCTCATAGTCGAACATCGCTTTTTTGACCTGGAATGGATGGATCTGAGCCAGTCTCTGCTCAATCTTGCCTTCCGGGAGTTTCACAGTTTTGAGGTGCCCATTCCACACAAATCCTATAAATTTTTGTTCTGCCGTGAAGTCTGAGAATTTCTTGATATTTGTCATCACCCCCAGTTCAGTAGATTTCGACACTATCTCTCTCATCGAAAGGTTTTCATCTACCTCTTTGACGAAGAGGTTGTCGTCTACCCACCTAAAAACATTGACTAGGTTGAAGTGATTTTTCATTACAAGTTTCCAAGCGTCCGCTGGTCGGCCAAAGGAACCGCAACCCGCTACGCCTCCAAAGGTAATGCGTGTGTCTATCAGGAGGTTCCCGTCAAAGTCGTGAACTAGAAGATACTTCCATTGGTCTTGCCTAGTCGGGATCTGACGGTAAGCCTTTTCCCAATCGAATAGCGCTAAGTCGAATTTCTTATCATTTTCAGCGAAGAATTTCGAAACTATCTTGAAATCATCCCAAGTAGTTTCGAAATCGCTTTTATCTACGTATGAGTTTACTGATCTGATATCTGGATCGTTTCTTGGATATGATAAGTCGTTAATCGGTCGGATTTGACCGTCTCCGTTGACTACCGCACCCAAGGGGTTGGATCTGAAGAACCCAAAGGTTTCCTTCATTTGTTGGTGTGAAAAGAGTCCTAGCATCCTTTTAGCTTTCAATTCTTTTGATATCGACTCTTCGATTTTATCTTTTACTAGTAATGACGACTTATGATTTTCTGGTGTGAACCAATGTTTTCCTTCAATAATGTGTTGAGGGATTCCTTGATCAAAACCGCTGATCATCGATCACGTCTTGGTATTCTGGTAGAAGATTGCACACTTGTAGCGCTTCTCGCCATTTTGATATGTTCATTTCACATGTGACTTTATCTGGTAAAATCATCTGTGGCATAACAGGAATAGAATTTGACACTGTTCTGAATTTCATGTATTGTCATAAATAAGAAACAAAGTGGAGAAGAAAGCATAGTAAGACAAAAATTCATTGCAAAATAATATTATATTCTCTTTTTTTTTCTTTTTTTTTTTTCGTGCATCTTTGACAAGGGAATTTGCCCTAGTAATTTCATGGAAGATAAGCCTACATGTCTTTCCCTTCTTTAAATTCTTTCTTTCCCGTCGAGGCTGGGCCTCTTGAAGATGAACCTTTTTGTTCTCTAAAGCCATTCTTGAAGTTACTGTCCTCATAATGGTTATAGTTTCTGTTAGTATAACCACCTCCTCTTCTCGGGCCCCACTTATTATCTTCGGAGCCTTGTGAAACTCTTGCTTCGCGGCGGTCATCGAAGTGTTGATCATTGTAATCGGCCGGACCAAAATTCTTCCCTCTATATCCTCCTCGATTCCTAGCCGAGTTGCCTCTATAAGAACCTCTTTCTCCCGAGTTTTGTGATGAGTATGGGTTGACGTCTGAAGAGGATTTATGCCCTTTTGGCATTCTTGGCCTTCCTGTTTTCGGATCGAACCCAAACTTGACGCCTCCTAGAGCATAAGGGTTATCGGTGAAGTCTAGCTCGTCTAGTTTTCTCGTAATCGCCCAAGCTTTCTCCCGAACTTCTTTCCTCATGATGGATATGTCGACTACCGACGCTCCTTGATCGGTTTCGACTCGATAGGCGAAAGCGTTAGCTCTGACAATAATGTCGTAGCGGAAGCCGGTCAGGAAACCATCGGCCGCAATTATTTCATCGACGTTCGATTTGTGTTCGACTATCCACTCTGCAAATTCGGGGATTTTGTAGATGTCCCTATAAGTGATCAAGAAGCTCCTGAAGTTGTTGGTCCATGCGCTGAATGATTGGGTCCACTCGTTTGGGTACTCGTAGCCCGTATAAACTCCGTCTTTTTCGTCTGTCTTTGAGCGTTTGCCTGAATGGAACGAGACCGCCTCTTCTTGCCACTCTTTGTCGAAGATGGTGAGCGGCAAAGGCCCTTTGAACTCGCGGATGTTCTTGTCGAAAAACGGAGTGAATCCAATGTCGCAATGATTTGGGATAGAGCCCCTGATGAAGTTGATGTTTTTATCCAAGGGTTGCTTTTGTGTCGGCAGCGATGCCGTAGCAGAGGCCGATCGGTGGACAGATGGAGGTTGTAGCGTATTCGTATTAGGGGGTGTCTCATCCTTAGGCAAAGAGAGATATATCCTGAGAAGGAAGTCGGCGGTTGAGTCGTCGTTAGCTGATTTAGCTGCGCAGATTTGGTTCCACAACCTCTCTTTATCCGAGAGTTGGGATGATGAGACCACCTGTTTGGGTGTTTCTGAGTCTAATGCTTTGTTGACTACAAGCATGGGTCCTGAATCATCAGAGGACGACAGTAGATTACGGTAGGTTGTCGCGGTCGACGCTGACTCAGGGATTGTCGTGGCTGTCGTGACAGGGAGTTTGCTGGATTTGGTAACGTCGGTGAGCTGGCCTTGAATCGCATCGTCTTCTCGGTCGTTTTCTTTTGACGTGTCTTGTCCTCTTGGTTCATCATTTCCAGGATCTCCGGTGCCTCTCTCGCCAACTTGGGAGAGGTCTATGACTTCGTTGGAGCGTTCTGTGACGAGCATCAGAATGAAAAGGTGGTGTAAGTTAACCGCGACTTGGTTACTATAGCAGAAAATTTACGAAATCGAGAGACACTAACTACTTAAGTGCTCCGATGACTCGTTTGTCGTGTTGCTCCCTGCGGCTGTCTGCGTCTGTCCTTGAGGTGACATTGATTGCGCTGTTGCCGTTTGAGTCTGTGGTTGGGTGTCCGGTTCTTTTACCCCGGGTCTGGTTAAACCTTTCATCTTTCGCGTCGCTCGTGTTACGATGTCTTCGGCCATGGATGGTTTAAATAGGACAAAAAAATACTAAAAAACACAGCGCGTAGAGACGGGGTAGTAGGAGTGAGATGGGGAGAGGAGCGCCTGGCGATGCGGGCTGAGAGGATCAGAAGAGTGAGGTTATAACCTCTCTCCTTCGCGAGGGGGCCGTGCTTTGCCAGGCCAGTCCTGACCTCTCAGCTCGGGGCAAGGCTCCAAGCGTTCGGGGTCTTGGACTTCAGACACATCCGCTATGCGCTTCTGTCTCTCCCAATGAAAAGTTGAACCAATATACTGGGATTATTAGTTTATGACTTTGGGACGCTGCATCCCTCGTTTGAGCTGCAGCAAAAAGTCAGGGTATGTATGAAGCTACATAAATATGTAATCCTGCCAATGAGTATTACGGATGTCGCTTAATGAACCCAACAAGCTGCTATTTCGTATGGCTCTGGTTTCATACATGCATAGTGAAGGTTTTCCTCTTCAGATGGACTTTGGGATAAAAGAAAATGGGATGTTGTATATACATAGGCATGTCTTTCCAGTTAGGACCCCGGGTAGTTGCTCTTGAAATTTATTACATTTCCTCCAATCAGAAATTGAATGACAAATCAGAAGGTATCTTGATAAGAATTCAGTACTAAAATAGAATAAGTAGGGTCTCTTTTGGATCTGGAACCACACAGAGTAGCAAGGCTCTCTCAGTAGGCCTGTTCAAATTTCTCTCTTGCACTTGGTCCTCTTTCACTTCTCTCTTTCATTATCATTCATCAATTCAGATCTAGATTATACATTCAACAGAGTCTTTCTCCCCCAGACATCATAGACTATATCTGATTGTAAGCATTGAAAGATTTTGAAACTGAAGATATTTTATTCCTTTATAAGTATACTAGTATATGCCCCCATTTTTGGGGAGGTTTGGTTGGTATATTTGCCCCGTTTTTGTTAATCGGGTGATTACTCGATGACCTTTTCTTGAGTTGGACACCTGTCTGCCTCGGTCTAACGCCGGCGTCGACAAATCCAACAAATGTGAATTGGAGGTCGACGCCGGCGTTAGATTGCATGGCAGTTTGTTTGGCCCTCTGAGGCTATTCCTTTAGTTTTATGTAGATATTCTTTTAAATAAATACAATTGATAACGTGATAACAAGGAAATCAGAGCAGTACCTGAAGGCAGTACTGATCTGATAGCTTTTTAAATACTTGATAATGGAAATTGCCTTCGAGTAGCTAGTATATGCCCCCAAATTTGGGGAGGCTGCTTGTTTTTGCCCCGGATGTTGGGGATTTTACTTGTTTGAAGGTCCTATGGTGTATGTCCTTCGCTTTTGAAGGTCGCCATGATTGTAAAGTCTTAAATGACATTGACATGTGCAACATCGACGCCGGCGTTAGAAGCCGCATGAGAAATCAATACAAAGGCTGACAGTTTGTTTGGCTCTCTGAGGCCATTTTTTTAGTTATATGTAGATTCTTTTAAATAAATACAATTGATAACGTGATAACAAGGAAATCAGAGCAGTACCTGAAGGCAGTACTGATCTGATAGCTTTTTAAATACTTGATAATGGAAATTGCCTTCGAGTAGACTAATTTATTCAGTTGAGGATAATGATAACAGCTGAATAAATTATCGGAAGAGCATTCCGATGTTAGTTTTTCTCTTAAGGTAAAATGTTTCTTATTCGCAAGAGTAATGAAAATACATTACTTTGGATAACAAGAATAAATTTCTTGTCTTAAGAAATTATTAGTTAATCCTTTTTATTTGATGAGTCTAATTAAGAATCGTCATCGATAAACTAATTAGTTTACTTATCTCTTTTTCTTTTTAAAAGAAAAAGGCAATTAATTCTTTTCCTTTTACTCACCGACTAACGGCGGAAAGATACGAGTAACGAGTTTGCGTTCAATAGACTTGTTCGAGTAAGAGCTAGAGATTTTAATGATGATGTTGTAGAACCAAGAATTAGAACTCGATCAATCTCTTGTTCTCATTCTTTGTTCTCTTGATTCAACTCATCGAGACTCACTGTAACAACTAAGGTCACAGCAGCCCAAGACAAGCAAAGGAGGAGGTGATCCACAGTACACGCAAACGGATCGAGCTGGCTAACCCTTTTCTTTAGGATACAAAAAAGTTTGGATTTTGATTACGGAAATTTATTGTTTAAGGATAAAACAAAGATTTTGCCATGAGGAAAGAAACCCTCGAGGCGAGTACAAGTCTTTAAATATTATTACCTAGCTACAACCCAACTACGCTATTCACTGATTCTGCTATCGCTATCTTCTTACAGATTGATATGAAAATCTTTTTTCTTCTTCAATAATTCTTTACAGATTGATATAAATCTTTTTTCTTTTTCGATAGTTATTTTCTTGATTCTTTTCTTGAAAAAATCCTCTTCTTTGATACTATTTAAAGTGTCGAGCCATTTTCTTTTCCTTCTTATAAGAATGCCAATCTTTTTTGAATCTTTCCCCTACGTCATCGAACCACTTTTCTCAACTGAATTCATTTTCATAATATTTTTTTGAATTTTGCTGTGTGTTGTGCCTGCTCGTTACACTCACCTAGAGCTCGATGATTGATCATGATCATCATTCATCTCTTTGCTAGTGACGTCAATGACATCACTGCTCGACGCATAGGCTTTAATCACGCCTTTCTGTTGTTCAACTTCTGAACAGCTTATTTCTGCTGATAATCACATGTTTCGTGATCAGCGCTAATAATATATATTTCTCTTCAGGAAGTTTATCAATCATGCGATAAACTTACCTGATGCTCTCCTCTTTTGAGGGATCAGACAAGGAATTGAATTCCAACAAGCATCAGTGATGAGCCCTGAACCTGCTCTGTGTAGTCATTTAACCCTGGTATCAAGGGTTTGCCTTCTCTGTAGACTTCCTCTTGAGTCTTATCTTCTGGTGTGTGATGGTGAATGATCAATGTTTTTTTATTCATTTATGCTCAATTTGATGTCACAAGTTTCTAGTTTTTTTCATTTTTTCATCTTTCATTTCTTTACATATTGTTCTAACAATCTCTCCTTTTCTGTACATACCTGGAGATCTTAATCTGGCTAGCTACAAGAAACCAGAAACCTATTGGTTCTCACCTTTTTGAGCCATTCTAGCAAGTCAAGGTCTCACTTCCCTCTTTCTCCTTGTTGGCCCTGTTGTCTCAGTGGAAACTTCAATCCTGAAATGCCTTATTTCACCACAGACTTTGAAGCTGTTCCTTGCTTGCATACGACCTGTGGCCAAATTTCACACTTAAAATCAGCAATCAGAAAATCAATATTTTGTACACATTTACAGGTGATTGATTTGTTTTTCCTCCAAATCAAAAAGAAAAATCACAAAAGCTATTTCCCTCAGTTGGAAAAACCTTGTGATGTGAGGTGTGAAAGAAAACTGAAAGTGATTTCAGGTGTTCCTGTTGGTTTCTAAAAGTTGGCTCTCCAAAGTAGGTATGTGTTTTCTACATACAAGTCAAATCCGCACAAGCAAGCCCGAGAGTCCACTGTCCAAGGGGGGGGGGGGGGGGGGCCCCAGTATGCAATATGCACTATGTACCTCGCTGGCTGAGTCGGGGCAGCAATTTCGGCTCCCTTTGCGCGCTTTTGGCCGTTTGGGTGTGTGGGCTATGTACGCAGTATGGGTGAGTTGGGTTCATTTGCAATCCGATTGGTGATTTCAGTCTGCTCGTCCATTGTTCCTTGCTGACTTCTTGATTGGTCAATGCTTCCTCGAAAGCTAAAAGGGGTTCAAGCGTAACAGCTCCTGAGGTTCTCCATATCCGGAAGCGTCCAACTTGACAGGACAGCCGATTAAAACCATCATCGTCCTACTCCTTGCTGTCGACCCCAGCCTCATTTCCCACTTTTAGACCAGTCCGAACCCTTCTTGACCGTCTACCTTGCACACCGCCAGTTTTTTCGATTTCCAGTCACTCAAACATGGCGAAAGCTTCAGCAAAAACCCCTGCTCCGCGCCGATCTGCCCGTCTGTCGAATTGTCTTACCAAGACTCCGCCTACCAGAAAGGACCTCGACCCAGAGTTCACTGAACCTAGCAGTGTTGAATCCTGCGATCTCAAGACTACCTCCAAGAACAAAAGGAAACGCCCCGCCGACAATGAGGTACCAAGATCCGTAGCCCAGGGCTCCAAAGCCAAAACGGCTCGCCGTGGCCATTCATTGTATGCCACACGATATTCGATATTTACTCTACCTGTCTTGTCACTGATCACTCCATCGCATTTTCTTAATTGAATTTTTTTTGGGTCATATGTACAGTCCCATGAAGGCTGCCAAGGACGAGCAGCCGACCCGGGTTGCCAAACGCACTAAATCTGTATCATCCCACTACTTTCAAGCTGACAAATCAGAAACCGCAAAAGTGGGCAAGAGCTCTGAGCCTCTGAAAGACGCGGCAGACAGAGATTCTTCTGACGAAAGCGATGCGAAGATTATCAACAAAATCATCACAGCCAAGAATAAGGGAAAAGCTCCCCAAACCGAGTCTCAAGCACACCACGACCCCGCTAGCGATCATACAAAGATTGCCGATCGGGTACCTGCATCGAAAAAGGAATTGATCTCTTCCATGGAACATCAGAAAGCGTCATCCCACACCCAGACCGCCAACACCTCCAAGTCCAAGGGGAAAGGAAAAGCGCGTCAAATCGATACTACGTCCGAAGAGGAGAGCGAAAGTGATGATCAAATCGTCTTAGCACGTCCACGCCCCAACGGCAGAAAGTCGGCTACCCCTCGTTTCAAACCCGTAGAAAGCGATGAGGACCCCTTGGAGATAGAGACAGAAATGGTCAAAGCTGCTATCAAGCTTTCAAAGGAAGAATCCAAGTCAACTGCTCCAAATTCTACCTCCGCCTCTCGTCCAATACGCTCCAGTTCCACCAAGGTGACAACATCCAAGCATCGAAACATGCTAGCAGAGATTGACAAGGAAGATGATCAAGACTCGGATTTTGAAGTCAAGTTTGACCAAGACAACCGCTCTTCCCTTTCGACGCTCGACTCAGACTCTGATAGCAGCGAAGAAAGTGACAGTGATGCCGATATCCCTGGCCATCAACCTACGAAGTCTGCTCAGACTACAGTTGCCCCCAAAATTCGACGAACCCGTCGCTCTGTCAAGATCCCCAAACACTTAACGTGGTGGCAAAGAAATCAGATGAAACTCGAGGCCCATCATCCGGAATTGATTAATGTCTGGGGGGATCTTGGTCAGAAGGTCGAAGTGGTTCAACCTTCGAAAGCTGAACAACCTGATGGTCTTGAATTGACGCTATTACCATTCCAGCTAGAAGGACTGTACTGGATGAAAAAGCAAGAAACCGGGCCTTGGTCTGGCGGGGTACTTGCCGATGAAATGGGCATGGGCAAAACGATTCAAACGATTGCACTGATCCTCTCGGATCGAGTTCCCGGCCATCGGAAACAAACATTAGTCATCGCGCCTACCGTTGCCATCATGCAATGGCGTAACGAGATTGAGAAATTTGCCAAGGGTCTCACCGTGAACGTTTGGCATGGTGGAAACCGTTCGAATGCCCAAGAGGAGATGGAAAACTTCGATGTCGTCTTGACTTCGTTTGCCGTCTTGGAATCTGCCTTCAGAAGACAAAACTCCGGTTTCCGGCGCAAGGGACAAATCATCAAGGAATCGTCTTTACTCCATCAGATCAATTGGCACCGTGTTATTCTAGACGAAGCCCATAATATCAAGGATCGATCCTGTAATACCGCCAAGGGAGCTTTTGAGTTGAAGGCCACATACAGATGGTGCTTGAGTGGAACACCACTCCAAAATCGAGTCGGTGAACTTTACAGTTTGATCAGATTCCTAGGTGCCGACCCGTTCAGCTACTACTTTTGTAAACTTTGTGATTGCAAAAGTTTACATTGGAGCTTCTCGGACCGAAGGTCTTGCGATCAGTTGAGTGCATTCCTCTTCTCCACTGTTTATGTTTTTCCAAGCAAATGGCAAGTTAGTTAATTCTCTTTTTTTTCGCAGATGCAAGCATTCACCCATGCAACATGTTTGTTTCTGGAACAACGAAATCTTAAAGCCCGTTCAAAAGTATGGCGCATCCGTCGTTGGCAGTCATGGTCACACCGCATTCAACAAATTGAAAGTATTGCTCGATCGAATGATGCTTCGACGAACCAAATTGGAAAGGGCTGATGACTTAGGGTTACCACCCAGAGCGGTTTTAGTCAGGCGTGATTATTTGTACGTGAACTTAACGTCACTTTCTTCCACAGTCCCTCATCTTGTACCTTCTAACCATCAAATACCCAATATTTTTTTCTGTCATTTAGCACTGAAGAAGAGGAAGAGCTCTATTCAAGCTTGTACAGTGACGTGACACGCAAGTTCAGTACGTACGCTGATGCTGGCACAGTGTACGCTTAATCTTTCTTCGTTTCCTTGCAGCAAAATGTTTGTTTGACTTCAGTTGACATTTATCATTTCTTGCTCCACTACAAAATTCACCCATTTTCCAGACTGAACAACTATGGGAACATCTTTCAGTTGATCACCCGGATGCGACAGATGTCAAATCACCCCGACCTTGTCTTGAAATCTCGCGCTGCCCAGGCAGCATTCAAGACCATCGGCGATGCAAACGCGCCCAACACAGACCTTAATCAATTGACTTCAATACAAACATGTCGTATATGTCTCGACGAAGCAGAAGACGCAATCATTAGTAAATGTCGACACATGTGAGTAGTTGAGATCTCGACATCTACTCTTTGCACCTTATTTAGTTTTGGGTACTTCGAGACTCTCCGGAAAACAATCTGATCCCCATGCTTCAATCCATTAGATTTTGTCGCGAATGTATTCGACAATATCTAGAAACGGCTACCGAGCAGGAGCCCGAGTGTCCAGTTTGTCATCTACCAATTACCATCGATCTGTCCCAGGATGCCCTGGAAGACGAAAATATGGGCTCTAAAGCCAGACAAGGCGTCCTAGACCGTTTAGATCCTGGCAAGTGGAGAACTAGCACCAAGATTGAGGCTCTAGTAGAAGAATTGAGTAAACTCAATCAATCCGATCATACGTATGTCAATTCCATTCTCTTGAAGTTGACAGACTGTCTCATGCTGACGCACGCTTTGTTCCTAATTAACAACTTGATTCATTCAACAGAATCAAGTCCATAGTATTTTCACAATTCACAGTATTTTTAGATCTAATCGAAAGAAGGTTACAATTGGCAGGATTCAAATTGGCCAGATTGCAAGGAAACATGACGCCTGAAGCGAGGAACCGAACGATCCAATACTTCATGAACAACAACGATGTCCAAGTATTTTTAGTATCACTTAAAGCCGGCGGTGTCGCCCTCAATCTTACCGAGGCTTCCAGAGTTTTCATTATGGATCCTTGGTGCGTCGCATTTCCAAACGGGTCAGATCGATGCACAGCGGACTGACCTCTTTGTATCGTGTTTTTTTTTTTTTTGTACCTAAACTAGGTGGAACCCAGCCGTTGAGCTCCAAGCTATGGACAGGTAAGCACTGCAAGCATGCATACGTCTACAATTCCGTTTCAGAGTGCTTGAATTAACCTTTTTCTCTTTCTTTGGATCCATTTGATGACCAGAATTCATCGTTTAGGTCAACACCGGCCGGTCGTGGTGACCAGGTTGATCATCGAAAATAGCATCGAGTCTAGAATTGTCGAGTTACAAAAGAAGAAGGAAGCTATGACAGGAGCGTCAGTCGCCAGTTGTTCTATCTTATAATCTCGCTTTGATCCCACATACTCACTGACGTCGCTTTCTGTGCATGATTTGTATGGTTTTTTAGCGCCTTGGGTGATGATGATCAAGCTTTAGGTAGATTGACACCTGAGGATCTCTCGTTCTTATTCACCCTGTAGATTGGTTGAGACTTGGGTACTGGGGATTCCCAATGTGTACTAAGTATATACACTCTTACCCTTGGATCAAGGAATGTAACAAGAACAGACAAGGACTTGTGAATCATTTTAGAATTAACATCATAAGTAAAATTACAAAGAACAATTTACATTAACCATAAAAAAAAGGAAAAATAATAGAAGAAAAAATAATAGACAATATTAGAACACTGAAAACCAAAAAAGAGTCACAGGGGGAAACAAGTGTTGTGTAGTCCCAATGTTTCCTTTTTGTTTTGTTTTTCAATGCTCAATTTTTCTCAAGTAATCTTCAAAGTACATATCAAGTCAAGTGTATTTCACACCTAATAATAACCTGTTGACCAATCTTGATTTTACTGAGATATTTATGTATGTAGTTGAAGTATCTCAGCCACACACTGTATCTTAGAAGAACTGGTGATGTTGGATGTAATGTAGTTGATTTGCACACTGCAGAGTACAGTGGGTGGACCGTTATTTTTGGCTGCTTGTTTTGGATTCTACAGCTTCAAAGCACAAACTTCAAGTCACAAGACTTGGTGAAGGGGTGAAGAATAGGTCCCAGAAAATGAATATGAAGAAGTAAAAGCAAAAAACAAAGTTTCAAAATTTGTGAAAAATAAAAAATAAAAATGGGTTTTTCCAAAAGCTTTGTTATTCATTTTGGGGGAGTGGGAGTGCTGAGAGAAAGAAAGAGTGGAACATGGCAAGAATGATTATAAATGAAAAAAATTGGAACCAAAAAAGGTTGAGTCAGGTTGGTTGTTCAGATTGGAGTCAAAACAGTCAATTCTAGTGCTTTTCCACAACATGTGCTGGTGAATGTGCTACTCAACAGTTGTTTGAAACCACCTGGTGACCATTTTTTACAAAATTTTATTTTATTTTCACAGATTTGAACCTTATTTTTTGCTTTATTTTTCATATCATTTTTCAGAACCTATTCTGCACCAATTCACCAAGTCTTGTGACTTGAAGTTTGTGCTTTGAAGCTGTAGAATCCAAAACAAGCAGCCAAAAATAACCGTCCCCTCCACTGTACAGGTCCCTGAAGCATAAAATTCTTCATGTTGGATAGTGCACTTTGTGTTTCTCAAAAAGCCCTGATTGGCTGTGTTTCTTTTCTTTTTTTTTTCTTTCTACCGACTATGCATTTTGCCCCCCCCAAAAAAAGGACTTTTTTTCATTGAATTTTTGAGAAAGGTTTGCAAAAATGCTCATTCACCTCATGTATGCCCATAAAACAAATGAGCCCAAGTTATGTTGATACATTCAACTCCAAAGCAAGGAAAACAGAGTACACTACTGAGGATATGGCAGAGCTGGGCCAACCAACACATGGATAGGAATCTTAATGGTGGGATGTTGTAGTTACATGTCACTGTAGTGCAGTGTATTGTAAGAGCATCTCCAACACGGGAGGTAAATCCAAGTTGCTAAATGTGAGATTTAGCAACTCAGATTCACTGTTACAACCCAAGGTGAAGGCTGCTCACCACCACAAGGTCCTCAAACGGAGCTAGATCCTCATGACAGGCCTCCCCCAGGGGTATCCTCTGAGCCCGAGCCACCACATTGAAATGGAATGTTTTGGTTTTTTTGTTTCACAATCTTTCTTTTTTTTCTTCAACAAGAACCTCAAAGAGATGGAGAAGATTGTGGGTAGAAGGGAAGCCAGTTGTTATTGGGGGGTAGAAGGGCATGTAGTGTCACAAAGTGGAGGGAGGTTTCACACCTCCTGATCGCTAGTTGGAGTTGTAGGGAGTTGCTAGTTGTAGCAACCCTCTAGCTACTTGGGAGCTGTTTTTTAAATTTAGTGCCCAAGATAGCGACTATGGTGGGTAGGTTTTTTGGAGGTTGGGTAGGTAAATCAGGTTTAGCGACCCAATTTACCTACCACTTTGGAGATGCTCTAACATAGCAGAAATATTGTTCCTTTATTATGTCACAGTATAAGGTGGTATATCAAGCTCCCAAAGTGGACAAAGTGCTTCATAACAGTCAATCCTTGTTGATTTTTTCCTCTTCTGTGGTCTACTCTTCCCCAAAACCACTCCTTTTTCTTTTCAAGTCATCAAAATTCAGACTAGAATATTTTCATCAAGTAGCTTGTTTTTTGTTGTTATTATGCCCCTTCTGAGTCAAATTTGAACCCTAAGTAATCAGCTCTTCTCAACAACTAATGTCTCTACAATGATCTCTTCTCTTTCCTGATCTTCTTGATTTATTTACTAGACTGATTACTTAGAATTAACGACTCTAAATATCTGTGGTTTATAACATGTTTTTTCTTGATTAACTCATCCGGCTTGACTAAAAGAGACTGAGAAGTTTTTGTATGGTTTGTTTCTTGCAAGGACTCATGTTTCTTCCTCTCAGTCTTTTATTCAAAATGTCTTTTTATTCATTTTCTCTCAACCACAGGTTGAACACATGTATGTAGTCTATTTAGCCAGACTTGCTACATGTGAATGAAAATCATTGGTTCTTTACACTCTTTTTCTGTGAGCCCTTCCCAAAAATAATACCCTTTTATTTTTGGCCCTTCACCTCCTACGCACTTTGGTTTAAAATTTCAACAATCTTACAGGCTCTTTTTTCACCAATGAATTTGTAGCCTCTACTGCATTGTAAATTATCAAAAAGTATACATTTTCCATTGCTTTCTTTTTGTTGAAAATAATAAGAAAAGTTTGAGAATTTATCTGTTCATGACATGTTACATATTTGAGGTACAAATATCATGATGTATCATAACATCCCACTGTTGTCTTTCTTATACCTGTTGCAAGGGCACTGGAAGCAATCTCCCCAGATGGGCACCTTCAATTGACATCAGGTTTGCATACCAATCAAAGGTATGCAATATGGGTTGCTGGCATTGCAAGGCATGTGACACCAATTATTTTCATCATGCAGAGGTCCCAGAAACATCTTGTGTATTCAAAGTGGTTTTCAAGGACTGGGGTTACCTGTTGAGGTGTCTGATAGTCTGCTACCATGATGTATCACTACATGTCGAACCATGAGGACTACCACCCAACAACCCTGGCAGTCACAAGCGTCTGTAGCCTAGTTGGTAAAGGCAGCACTCTAGTATGTGTCTCAGCTTAGCTGAGGTCGTGAGTTCGACTCTCACCAGACACATCTTCATTTTGTCTGTCTCTACAGGTTATGAGCCCAGAGCCTACCTAAGCGCAACCTGCTTACAACAGAGACCAGATGAAGTTGTGAATGCTTACTTGTAAGACCAAAACTTCCCCTGTAAGACTACCTAAGGTCACGGGTTCTATTCCCACTCTGATCATGATTTGTTGGGTCTCATTCCCACTTCCACATCATGTAGCAAGGGGGGGGTGTTGAGGTGTCTGATAGTCTGCTACCATGATGTATCACTACATGTCGAACCATGAGGACTACCACCCAACAACCTTGGCAGTCACAAGCGTCTGTGGCCTAGTTGGTAAAGGCAGCACTCTAGTATGTGTCTCAGCTTAGTTTGTATTGCTTGCGGGAGGCGACCTCAAAGGAACCAACATCGGAATGAATAAGATGACCAGGAGACTGAGAGCGATAAGAAAGGCGAGAAGTGAAAGAGAGACGGTGCATCTTAGACTGCACACAAATGGGACATTGGGTTACCTCAATATCATTGGCCACCGTAGGAGTGATTCCAGCTCGGCGAAGGAGTAGCTTGAGGGGTTTCAGACCTGTGTGGGAGAGTTGGATGTGATAATCCAGGAGTGAGCTGCCGTGAGATGAAGACGGAACTGAAATGGCGGAGGAGGACCTTACCTCATTGGAGGGAAGATAGAAAAGATTACCCTTGCGATAGCCACGACCAACAATGGGACCAGTGACGGAAAAGGAGCTTGCCTCGTAAATGACGCAGGAGTCACTAGAGAAGACGGCCACCAGGTCCTTGTCGCACAAACCGGCGACGGATAACAGAGGCTCATGGAGTCCTGGAACAACGAGGGTGGGGACTCGTCTATCAACTGAGAGTGGCAAAGACTGGCAACCGCGGAAGGTGGCGAAAACTTCGGAGCGATCGGCCAGACGGACTGAAGTTGAGTCCGGCTTAAGACGGTCAACAGTGGACTTGTGAGGGGTCATAGAGATGGAACAGCCTGAGTCGATGTTGGCATCAACACTCCTGGAGAACTCAGTGTGATGGGTACCGACGACTGCATTTCCAGCACGCTCAGGGATGGAGAAGTCTGATTGCTTGTCGTAGGAACGTAACCCAGTTCAACCACGGTAGTTTGACCTGCGGTAGCAGAAGGCTTAGAGGAGGAAGTGGGACGACCAGAGGAGCGGTTGTTTCCAGTAGGACCACGTCTGTTGTCGCGAGAGGAGTCGGGTCGACGGGAACCCCCCCCAGTGCTCGAGGAGCGGTTAGTCTTATGCTTGGAAAGAACGCGTGCCGCATTCTCACAGATAGAGAGATCGTGCCCCGCACGGTTGCAGAATGTACAATGAAGAGACTCGTTAAATCGTGGCTTGCCCTTGAAGAAGTCAACACGGGCTTTAGAGACGGTGTGGTAATTAAATATGTAAAAAATTCAAAAGTTTCCTTTATACACATTTCTCATACATTCATTCAGAAATCACCAATACAACTTCAGAAATGGATTCTACGGACAGTTTCAGCCTAGGTCACCACTGGACGCATCATTGGAACACTCACGGATTGGAAGTTACACCCCTACGGACGCATATCACAAGGCCAACACCCAGTCAAGCACATGTCACAACCCTCAATTCACCTCTCAGTTATGCTTATACACAGCTCATGGTATACAAATAATTTCCCACACCTCTTTATCTCCACCGCATATATTAGTTTGGTTTTATTTGTCACCTCATGCACTGCCTTTGCAGGCTGCGCAGTCTTGATTGAATTACTTTTCCCACAGTTCATTAATTTTCTCACCTCATTTATGACAACGGCTGGATTTTTCCCACAATTTATTGCCTCATTTGACACTTTCTCACATGATTTACGCACTGCAGGACAGCCTTTGACATTAATTGTACACAGCCTCACTGGTTAATTTCCCTCACTTGCATGATCAGACTAGCTAAATTCACTCATTTGTACCTACAGGCCAGCTAAAATCACTCTTTCTTGTCTGCCCTGAAGCTAAATTCCCTCACTTTTGTCTATAAAAGGAGGCTCTCTTCCCCCCATTTGTTGTCTCCCCATTCCAGTTCATCAGTTCATTCACTCAGTTCATCACTCAGCAAGTCAATACATATATAACTCACCAGTTATAAACAATTATATAAACCTTTCACCTGTTACATAACATAACAGTTTCTTTTATCAGCAATTGTATATTCAACCTTTACTTTTCATCAAACAAAGTTTTTACCGGAACCGACCAATCCTATCACGTTATTAAAACTTTCCAAGCTAAGCTTGGGGGTCTTGTTTCTGATAGTATAGAAGGGCAGAGTTTGCACCTCCATCATCCCCTTCTCAATTCAGCAAAAGGGTTTCACAACCACTTTTGAGTCTTACAACGGTAACGGTCGACTTGTCCTCACGACGAGCTTTGCGAAGAAGGGATTCGGCTTTGAGAGCCAAGACGATGCGCGAGGAAGTGACGGAGTCCTCGTTCATTAGGGACGATACACAATGAAGCCAATCGTCGGTTAGGGAGGTGAGAAGGGCTGTCGCGTGGATATCGTCCACAGTGAGTGGCTTCTCAGGAGTGACCAGCGAGCCGAGGCGCTCCGCACAGATGGCCATCGATTCAATGTGGGAGTCGATGTTGTCGCCGGAGAGACGCGCAACGACCAGTTGACGCAGCCAATGCATGCGGCCCCAGCCGAAAAGTCCTGATGGGCCTGCGAAAGCGAGAGCCACATCGCTGCGGCGTCGGTGCCGTGTGCCCGGACAAAACGAAGGTTCGAGGGGTGTATCGTCCTGGCAATGAACGACGAGACAGCTATGCTGTCGTTTAACCAGGAGGCAGGGCGAGAGGATTTGGTCTTGGCAGCTGCGGTGAGGGTAGGGCTAGGCTCGGGTTCGAGGACGTAAGCGAGTTTGAGGGATTTGAGGTGCAAAAGGACAACAAAACTCCAATCAAGGTAGTTCGAGTCCGCACCTTGGGGCTTGAGCTGGACGATGCCAGATACCTTAAGGTTAAGGGCATCGGCATCGTCCTTCGTTTGGGCTATGGCGGACATAGCGATGATCCTGACGCAGGATGTTGTCGTCCGAGAGTCCGAGAGGAAGAAACGGCAGCGGAGAAGGTGAAGGTACAGTGGATGTGTCGTCCGAGAGTACGAGAGGAAGAAACAACAATGGAGAAAGGACGGCGGGAGTAGAGTCCGAGAGTCCGATGGGAGGGAAACAACCACGAAGAGGGCACACATATGGTGTCGAGTTGTCGAAGACTTCCAAATCAAGTATAGTAATATGTCCGAGATGAGCAAGAGAGAGATCAAGCGGACAGCTGTTTAAACGCAAATGGGTCTCATAACCTGTTGGAATGGACACCCTGGAGACAGTGAGGTTGGAAAGGATCGTGTGTCATTTCACTAAGAGAAAGAGAAGAAGAAACAAAAAGAGAAAGAACTAACCTGGAGGAAGTGAGGTTGGAAAGGATGAAGAAAAGGGATCCTTTCCAACTCAGTTGTCTCCAGTATAAGAGAGAAATGAAAACACAGTGAATGTCATAAGGTGTGACATGTGAAAAGAGAAAAAGAGGAAGAGGCACAAAATGATAGCGGCTATGTAAACTACACAACATAGAGAGCTCAACATTACCCCTGACTCACCTTTTGCGCAACATAGCACAGGCAGCATGACAACCATTGTGAATTGCCTTGGAAGTCAAGGGGCCTTTTGATGATGAAGCACAAGTGATTACACACATGTGATGAGGAAGGTGTTATGTCCTTGACCTGTCAAGAAGTCTTGGTCATTACGGCAGTACAGGAGGGAAGGCATTCAAAATCAACATCAGACCACCCATCAGATTTAGAGATGGGCGCGGCGCATCCGGAGATCTGTTCGGATTTGGATATCTGCTCATCATTTCAGCGGAATCAGACATCCGCATCCGCTGGCAGTTATCCGCGCGGATATCTGCAGATATCCGCCCCCTTTTGAGGGTGGACAGAATTTTTTTATTTTAAAAAAAAGAAAAGAAAAAATAAAATAAAAAAAAGAAAAGAAAAGAAAAGAAAAGAAAAGAAAAGAAAAGAAAAGAAAAGAAAAGAAAAGAAAAGAAAAGAAAAGAAAAGAAAAGAAAAGAAAAAAAAATAGCTGATTTTGAAACCAGCTTGTTGGGAGGAATCCCTCCCAGCAAGCTGAATTATGTACCAGTCTGGGATGAATACCCTGGTTGTAGGAGCCATCCAACTTGGGGCCACTGCTTCAGACCAACATGTGCACAGAATAATAACTGTAAGCTAAGCTATCTATGAGCCATAAACCTTCCAATATGCAAACTGACCAAAGTTTGTTCTGTTTCACTTGGCAAATTTGTTCGGACCGGAACAGTCCGGCACGCATCGACTGGCGTTCAGTCAAGGCTCAAAAGTGTTTGTGGCGATCAACAACGACGACTCGGCCTGGGTGCTGAGGGACGTTGTTGTGGGGTTGGCGTCGCCTGAGGATGCATACCAAGAGTTGAGCCGGGTTACCTCCCTGTTTTTTATCGCTCTTGCTCCTTCAGTATGTCCCCTGAATGCAGATACTTACTCCTGTCCTCCGTCTAGTCAGCTCCACCCTACAGGGGAAGGCCAACTCGTGCATCTACAGCCAGACCCCTCATCCGGCCTCGCCCGCTTGTGTCCTCTCACTATTGCCCCAAGATCGGCAAGTGGAATCATGGTTGTCTGACAACACTTCTTTTTGGATGGAATCTCCCTCTTTTTTCCCCTTGGCTCCTATTATGTCCAATGTAAACAAACACAATCTGTGTCTCTACTTTGTTTTTGGTTTCAGTTGGGATTGGTCCACTGGAGTTTGTATAGTTGAAGTGATTAATATTTTGATATATAGTTGAGGACACTATGAACTTTTTTTGGATTGTGGGTGGTAGTGGCACAAATCTGACAATGCTGATAGAGACTTTTCTCCCAACGGAGCATCAATGGCTGGGGCGTATCAGTGGTGGGCCGCTACACTTTTGGCCCAAAAAGCGTAGCGTAGCGGCGCTTTTTTTCATCCAAAAACCGTGGTGTTAGCGGCTTTTTGCTACGCTACGCTGCACTACAGCACTTTTAGCAGAAAAAGCGGCCAAAAACCGCTCAAAAGAGCTGTAGCGCAGCGTAGTGGGCCCTTTTTGCGGCCCACACGCG